GACTGAATAGATGGGAGTATAGTTTTTGTGTGGGGAATAGAATGGATTGGTCGTGTGTGGGTGGTGGCGAGAAGAATGATTTGTTGATGAGTTTCAGGTGAGTTGACGGGTGTTTGTGTGATGTATGTTGATAGGCATCAACTATGTGTGTTGTTGTGTGAATGTGGAATAGTTGATATTAGTTTCATGATGAATTGTCCATACATTCGCGGTTTCCACTGACTCGAGAATTGATGTTGTTCTCCGTCACTTGGATGTCTGACTTTAGTGTTTTTGTGTTGGTCGGTGTGGATATTGTGATGAGCTATTGATGTGTTTTGTTTTTGTGTTTTATTTGTTTATTTTGTAGGAGCGAAGACGGTGGTGTAGGTTTGGTGATCGAGAGAGTGGACTGAATAGATGGGAGTATAGTTTTTGTGTGGGGAATAGAATGGATTGGTCGTGTGTGGGTGGTGGCGAGAAGAATGATTTGTTGATGAGTTTCAGGTGAGTTGACGGGTGTTTGTGTGATGTATGTTGATAGGCATCAACTATGTGTGTTGTTGTGTGAATGTGGAATAGTTGATATTAGTTTCATGATGAATTGTCCATACATTCGCGGTTTCCACTGACTCGAGAATTGATGTTGTTCTCCGTCACTTGGATGTCTGACTTTAGTGTTTTTGTGTTGGTCGGTGTGGATATTGTGATGAGCTATTGATGTGTTTTGTTTTTGTGTTTTATTTGTTTATTTTGTAGGAGCGAAGACGGTGGTGTAGGTTTGGTGATCGAGAGAGTGGACTGAATAGATGGGAGTATAGTTTTTGTGTGGGGAATAGAATGGATTGGTCGTGTGTGGGTGGTGGCGAGAAGAATGATTTGTTGATGAGTTTCAGGTGAGTTGATGGGTGTTTGTGTGATGTATGTTGATAGGCATCAACTATGTGTGTTGTTGTGTGAATGTGGAATAGTTGATATTAGTTTCATGATGAATTGTCCATACATTCGCGGTTTCCACTGACTCGAGAATTGATGTTGTTCTCCGTCACTTGGATGTCTGACTTTAGTGTTTTTGTGTTGGTCGGTGTGGATATTGTGATGAGCTATTGATGTGTTTTGTTTTTGTGTTTTATTTGTTTATTTTGTAGGAGCGAAGACGGTGGTGTAGGTTTGGTGATCGAGAGAGTGGACTGAATAGATGGGAGTATAGTTTTTGTGTGGGGAATAGAATGGATTGGTCGTGTGTGGGTGGTGGCGAGAAGAATGATTTGTTGATGAGTTTCAGGTGAGTTGACGGGTGTTTGTATGATGTATGTTGATAGGCATCAACTATGTGTGTTGTTGTGTGAATGTGGAATAGTTGATATTAGTTTCATGATGAATTGTCCATACATTCGCGGTTTCCACTGACTCGAGAATTGATGTTGTTCTCCGTCACTTGGATGTCTGACTTTAGTGTTTTTGTGTTGGTCGGTGTGGATATTGTGATGAGCTATTGATGTGTTTTGTTTTTGTGTTTTATTTGTTTATTTTGTAGGAGCGAAGACGGTGGTGTTGGTTTGGTGATCGAGAGAGTGGACTGAATAGATGGGAGTATAGTTTTTGTGTGGGGAATAGAATGGATTGGTCGTGTGTGGGTGGTGGCGAGAAGAATGATTTGTTGATGAGTTTCAGGTGAGTTGACGGGTGTTTGTATGATGTATGTTGATAGGCATCAACTATGTGTGTTGTTGTGTGAATGTGGAATAGTTGATATTAGTTTCATGATGAATTGTCCATACATTCGCGGTTTCCACTGACTCGAGAATTGATGTTGTTCTCCGTCACTTGGATGTCTGACTTTAGTGTTTTTGTGTTGGTCGGTGTGGATATTGTGATGAGCTATTGATGTGTTTTGTTTTTGTGTTTTATTTGTTTATTTTGTAGGAGCGAAGACGGTGGTGTAGGTTTGGTGATCGAGAGAGTGGACTGAATAGATGGGAGTATAGTTTTTGTGTGGGGAATAGAATGGATTGGTCGTGTGTGGGTGGTGGCGAGAAGAATGATTTGTTGATGAGTTTCAGGTGAGTTGACGGGTGTTTGTATGATGTATGTTGATAGGCATCAACTATGTGTGTTGTTGTGTGAATGTGGAATAGTTGATATTAGTTTCATGATGAATTGTCCATACATTCGCGGTTTCCACTGACTCGAGAATTGATGTTGTTCTCCGTCACTTGGATGTCTGACTTTAGTGTTTTTGTGTTGGTCGGTGTGGATATTGTGATGAGCTATTGATGTGTTTTGTTTTTGTGTTTTATTTGTTTATTTTGTAGGAGCGAAGACGGTGGTGTTGGTTTGGTGATCGAGAGAGTGGACTGAATAGATGGGAGTATAGTTTTTGTGTGGGGAATAGAATGGATTGGTCGTGTGTGGGTGGTGGCGAGAAGAATGATTTGTTGATGAGTTTCAGGTGAGTCGATATTTGTGTTTTTTTGCTGCTACGCGACATATTTGTCTTTGTTTAACCATGTTCAATGTCCTTTTGTTATGTCATATTTATTGTATGGTTATGATATTTTTAAATTTTGGCTTGACGAATAATATTCGTTTTGGTTTTAGTAGGATGTATTTATGATGAATCTTAGTGGCGTACCTAGTGCTTTGTGTTCTTTTCATGTTTGTTACCGAAGCGTTCAGTCGTTTTTTTATGGATATGTAGATGGATATTTTTATGCCTACTTTCGGCTATATGTATATATGTCCGTTGGTTTTACGATTATTCACGTGATTACTAATTTGTTTGCTGAATTTTACTTTTCCTACATCCGCTAGCCAGCTTAGATCATTCATTTCTCGTTATGTCGATAGGCTGTCTAATATATCTTTGAAACTCTTCGCTTCTGTCTTTTGATTTCACTGTGTTGTTACGTTTTGATTACAGTAGGTGTTGTAAAACTCCATATACTTGTACCATCTTTATGTCCATTTGTTTCTTTCAGTCTCATAAGCTCTTCAATAATTTTCAAAGAAGAATTCTTGAGCATACATTAGATTCAGATTATCAGTTTTATGATTTAACAAGCATTTAGCTTTCGATTTTCGACAGGTTTCTCATTCTCGTAGTGATTTAATTTTTTCCCTCAATCTTTGAGGTTGCTGTTGGCGGGAACGGAGGTTGCAGTTCGACTCAACTTCGTAACAATTGTTTCACTAGTGACAACAAGGATCAAAACTGACTTTACAGTAATAAATAATCATAACGATTGTATCCAAATTAATTATTTGTGATTGAAAATGAATTACTGATAATAGTGGAAGCAAATTCGTTCAACTCAGCGAACAAAATAGTGAATGCAAAGTGTATTTCGTGGTCACGTTGAGATTTGATACCTCATTTTAAATTAAATCTGATTTCACTCATTTATGATATGACGGGATGTTTTGATTATTATATTTTATAATAATCAGTTGTATGTGTTTGTGATGATTAGAAGTTTTTAGGTCATTGTATTAACTTGGAATTCCCGAAATAACGCAATTTAAGTCGGATAAAACTAGGTAAGCACAAACAAGCGTATTGTATTTAAAATTCAAAATCAGGCGATACAAACGCAACCGTTTTGATTGGAATCTAGGTTTCTGTAATCAATTGAACATCTTAGGTTCATTGTATGTTTGTCAGACTATGTATTGGATACAGACTCGGTCTGATCTAGAATATATTCAATAGTATTAGAATTAACAAATGAAGTTGGAACGGACTCACCTGGGTCCTGGAATTGTATATGATCAATATGTCGGTTGTGTACTAATATCTAGAATTTGAACCATAGGTTTTTCAACACTATCCTCCCTTACGAATGCAGTGAGTAGGATTTCCCTGTCAGTGGCTGTATATGTGTGGCCATGTGGGAGCATTTCGAGAGAGAGAGCTGACTCTCCCTACCCTCGGCTGTACCAGGGCATTTCGGGGGTATTTACAACATGTTCCACACATTGACTGGAGGATCTATTAGAAGTGACTTCATGATAAGGATAAACAACGGTTGAAATGAAATCATCCGAGTTGTAATCAAGTTCGATCTCATTTAGGACTCGTGCTTCACATCGAACAAGTTCCTCACAAGAAACAAGTGCATTATGAAGAGAAATAACATTTAGTATGGCACATAGATATTGGTTCAAGGGAGCACCAGATACATACGCGCCACACAAATCTCATTTGATTTGTGTGAGGGCTGTAATATTGCTCGGGTATCCAAACCGAAGCAGGTGGTTTTCTTAGGGGGCCACACCCGGAGCCTTCGACCTGAAGGTCTGATCCACAAGACAGTGGAGCATCGTAAGGAGATGCAGTCTCATGGTAACCGGTGACCAACGACTGGTTCATGTTACCATTTGTTCCCTCAGGATACTGGGTTCGAGTCCCAGAGTGAACACCAACTGTGAGACGCAGGTATATCCAGCTGATGAGTTCCAAATGGGACGAAACGCTCGTCCTGGATTCCACTGCTGGCCACTATCCATCTTAATCAGGATATTTTTAGATATAACTAGACTTTGAACTTTCCATAGAAGTGGTCTTATTAGATACTTAGATTCTGTGATCTGCGATACTAATCACTGTAAAAAAAACAATCATTAAATTTAAATTGTTACAAAAGACTGCTTGTGTGATTTGGCTTCACATTGAAAAAATTAATTCCTCTGCAAGGTCAACATTATTAAATTTTTTGTGTGCTAACCACAATGAAATCTCATCATACATGTCGCTTTGTAAACATTTTCAAGAGGTCAAGTTTTAGATCAGACCATGAACTGTTTTGCTTTGTGATGCTTACCAATCCAAATTAAGACTAGATAGGGGTGTTGAATTTAGTATGTTAATCGACCGGGTCTGTCTGCCCTGAATAATTGAGTGATTGTCAATAATGACCAATCGGGGTGCTTGGTTTTTCCATACTATTCATTTAAATACATGAACTAAGGCCTACATTACAGTTGAACGAGAGAAATTTTTGGATCGGTCGGTTTGAATTATGGTGAGTCATTTAGTAGTATCAAGTAGAATTGATTACATAAAACGTTTTTGTGTTCAATTTATTAATGGTAAGCAGCGTGGTGATCTCCATAACTAAATTAGATTTTATTTTACGACATCAGTATACACGAAACCCAGTTTAGTTGTTTCACTTGAAATTCCGCACCCAATCCCGTGACATATTTAAGCTACATTAATGGTTGTTGGAGCATGGAGTTTGATTTCTTGACATTGAGTTATGCAACTAATGATTTATCCGCGTCTTAGTAACTAGGGTAAGTTCAGGTAAAAGAATGTGATTAAATCGAGCAAGAACAAACATTGATGCAGCATCAATGTTTGTTCTTGCTCTATTTGAATGGGATTAATGCTTTTTACGTTGTTTCATATTAATATTGTATCAGCCTTCATTATCGACTACATGGACTACGTCACAAAAGATCAGTTACTTACAGTGTACAATGTTTTATATCAAAATAAATAGTTTCTTGCATACGTTTATTTCATAAGGTGTTTAACTCTTTACTTATATATTCCTCTCTTAGCGCGAATGTATCAGTCTACATGTTGGTCAAGCCGGAACTCAGATGGGCGATTCCTGTTGGGAGCTCTATTGCCTTGAACATGGAATACAACCTGATGGCAAGGTCCCTATCGACTCAACTATTAAAAACGATAACGATTCTTTCAGTACGTTCTTCAGCGAAACTAGCTACGGTCGTTACGTCCCACGTGCTGTCTTCGTAGACTTGGAACCTTCAGTTATTGACAGACTGCGGACGGGCTCTTATAAACAGTTGTTCCATCCAGAACAAATGATAAGCGGGAAGGAAGATGCTGCTAATAATTATGCCCGTGGTCACTACACAGTTGGTAAAGAGTTGGTCGATGAGGTTCTAGATCGTATTCGGAAATTATCTGAAAGGTGCACAGGACTCCAAGGTTTCTTAGTGTTCCATTCATTTGGTGGAGGGACGGGATCTGGTTTTACATCTCTATTAATGGAACGTCTTTCCGTTGATTTCGGTAAAAAAGCCAAGTTGGAGTTTGCTGTATATCCAGCCCCTCATATCTCAACAGCTGTTGTTGAACCTTACAACTCTATTCTTACTACACATACAACGCTAGAACATTCAGATTGTGCCTTTATGGTTGATAATGAAGCTATATATGAGATATGTCGACGAAATTTGACTATTGATCGACCAACATACAGCAATCTTAACCGATTAATTGGACAAATTGTTAGCTCTATTACTGCTTCTCTTCGATTTAGTGGTGCTTTAAACGTGGATTTAAACGAGTTTCAAACCAATTTGGTTCCTTATCCCCGTATCCACTTCCCATTAACAACATATGCACCTATTATATCAGCAGAAAAGGCATTCCATGAACAACTGAGCGTTTCCGAAATTACCAATTCATGTTTTGAACCTGTCAATCAAATGGTCAAGTGTGACCCAAGAAATGGAAAATATATGGCTTGTTGCTTGTTATACCGAGGTGACGTTGTTCCGAAAGACGTAAACGCAGCAATCGCAAATATCAAAACTAGAAGATCAATTCAGTTTGTTGATTGGTGTCCCACCGGTTTTAAAGTTGGAATTAACTATCAACCACCCACCGTTGTTCCTGGAGGAGATTTGGCCAAGGTACAGCGCGCAGTTTGCATGCTTAGTAATACTACTGCGATTTCAGAGGCATGGGCTCGTTTGAACCGCAAGTTTGATCTCATGTACGCGAAACGCGCATTCGTTCATTGGTATGTTGGTGAAGGTATGGAAGAAGGCGAGTTTTCAGAAGCTCGCGAAGACCTGGCTGCTCTAGAAAGAGATTACGAAGAAGTTGCTGCAGATACTGTAGATGCGCACTCCGATGATGGCGGATTTTAATGTTACTTGACTACTACTTAAAATATATTTTTTTACTTGCCAGTAAATTGCATATTTTCTCTTCCTAGACCTAGTGTTGGGAGCTGCAATAGTAGTGGTAGTGAACGAGTATTTTTTCATCTGAGTATCGGACGTTAGAGTTGCGGTTTTCATTTATTCCGTCGTTTGGAGGGTTGAGTGTTCTGTATGGTTGGCTGGTGGTTTAGGTCGGAACGTACTAGTGTTTCAGATGTAGCAATCTAACGTGGCATTGGGTTGATTATCTAAGGCACTTCATGATAATGAGGGTGGTATATTTTGCGTGAGTTTAGGGTTATTATAAGATTCTGTGTTAGTATTTATTTCCACCTGTGACGTTTCATGCGTCCTAAACCTCGTCCTATGGGCTCTCTTTATTGTGTCTTTAACATCCATTGGATTGTGGAAACCGGTGCACTCTAAAAATTGTAACAGGATGCCACATGTGTCTGGCACTTTTTAGTTTCCAGTGGTCGTTCGGCTCTCGTAACCCCAACGAATAAAACCAAATTGATTTCATGAAATCTCTGACTTTTGAGGTTAATTGGGTCAATGATTAAACATTTTAAAGCACACATCACGTACCCGAGTATTTTATACGATTTGAACAACAAATTCGCGATCAGTATTCACTCTTCAGATTACTATTCGTGCTCTTTCATTCCTATCAAATTTATCCAGTATGACTAAATGATTAATTTGAGATCCGACTGTTAATATTATGCTTGGAAAGTATTTCGACTAGACAAGTGGGTGTCAGATTACACATGCAGTAGTTCAATTACAATCTTCGCTAATTCCTCTCATTGGTCCCTTCTCATGAAGTTCCTCATTAACATAGTATTGTAAATAAGTATGAAAATGATCATTATTTGTGATCAAACTCATGTACTGGTAATCAGTTGCGTATGACATCTAACGGAAATGTGCAGAACTTAATCAAATTCTACTGTTGTTACTCGATCCACATAAAATTTGTTAAATCCAGTTTCACTGAACTAAAACAACTGCTTACTATTTTGGGTTGATTTACTGACTGGATTTAAGTAAAGGTTGTTAGTTACATAACGACCTGCTATTCAGCAAGGTACATACGATTTGTCTTCCGGGAAGAATTAACAAAGTACTAGCACAGTCCTTACTTCCTAAAAATATATTGATGGTTGTGATTTTAAATTGTCTGCATTAATAGATCGAGATCCATTGATATTATCATGCTCCTCTCAAAAGTTGAAGGCTCTATTTGTGTGATGATGAACCCTAGTTCAACGGGAAAAAGTTGTCGAGTGTTCTCTCCAGCTCATTTCATTTCGGGACGAAAACTATCTGCTCTCTTCACTAACCTCTATATACGAAAATGCCTAGTAAAGTCGATATATAAATGTAGAAATTGTTTTTGAATAATCTCTGATTGAAATTTAAATACTTCTAACATTTCGTCTGGGAAACTTGTCCGAACTTCTGAGGAATATGACAAAGACTTTTATATTCAATGTCTTCCATATACTCTGTGCTGTTTCCATCAAGCTGTTCAAATTTGGGCGGATGCTCATCTAAATCCTTATTTAACGAAAGTAACCCATTTTTTTAATTGACTTCATTAGAGAGTTATACTAATATTTTTTATTTATTGATTTATTCAAATTTCATAATGAGAGAATAAGCTTTTACCTAGATATTCTGTACTTGGAAGAATCTGACATGTATCATTCTATCAGATCATCCGAATCATCGTTTGTTACTGGTTCATAAACGTAGCAAAAAAAAAAATTCATCAAGCACTTTAATTGTTTTGCATCTATTTTGAAACCCAAATATATACGCAAACTTAAATACTAGTGTCAATCACATGTTCAAATGAGTCATTTCTCAAAACAATTATTACTTAAAGGTCTGTTCCATCCTTTAGATAGACTTGTTTTTTTTTTTAAAAAAAATCCTATTTTTAGCTTGTTTTCATCAGACCAATTTTAGTAATATGTATATGCGTATTGATCTGACTACTGACAGAATTGGTCTGCTCTATGTGATATCAGACAAAAATGTGTGACCTATTTATCTCACCCGTTTAAAAAGAAAAACAGATTTTATGTTATTGATAATCAGCCTTTGTTGTCTATGCTAATCGTATTGGTTAGTAAATATGTTTATTTACGTCCACAGAATTGCTATTATTTTAATGTTCATTATTGTCCTTGTCATAATAAAAACAGATTATAACTCAATGTGGTTTTATTTGTCATGTTAGAATCTTAACCTTAATAATTTGATAGCGGTTTTCTTAAAAGTGCATGGTTAATTCATTTTCGTATTGATTGTTTAAGTATTCTCATTAACACTTAGGACTGCAATTGATCGGTCTCTTATTCTCATTTGTGCATTATGTGCTGATCGCCTCGATATTACCTTTAAGTCACAAGCGTTGTGAGCAAAGATGGATTGCAGTCGTAAGCATCAACTGGAAGATTCAAACAACCAATACAAAACCAAATTAAACTTCATCTCATTGCACAAGCAAATGGTTATCTGGACTCAGTATTTAAGTAGATAACATGTTGTTGTTTGAAGTGAACTGTATTGGGTTCGAGTCCCGAAGTGAACATCAACTCTGGGATACAGGTACATCCATCTGAAAAGCCCTGAATAGGACGAAACGCGCGTCCTGGATCCCATCTCTGCTTACCGTTCATTGTTAATGTTAATACTTTTTCATTCAAAATAACCAAATGTTCATTTAAAAAATACTATGCAACCACTAATGGTTTAACATGAATACGAAGAAGATAAAGCTATATATTATAGTGCACAACGTGAAGTTGAACATCTTAATAAGTAGAAAAGAAAAGAGTGACGTGAAAAAACCTCTGAAAATAAGTATAAGTAGATAAACGTATCGATAATACATGTAATAAATCTACAGGATCGGATTTCAATAATTTAAAGATAAATATTTTTATTATCACAACCAATATACAACATTATTAAGACAAGAAATTGTTGAATTTAAGAGTTGATCTAAGCTAGACCACCACTCATGAAATCAACTATTAAAATTACTACAATCTCCACAAATCCCCATTCTGACAAGAAGAAATTGTATTGGGACAATTGAAATGGTTATCTATAATGAGTCAAGTAAATTGACTAGGAATAGTATAAAGAATCTAAATTATGCATACAATTAATTTTAACAGCCAACTACGTGGCAGTTCGTTCTATTCTACTTTACGGCTGAGAAACGTAGTCATTAAGAGTAGGGGATACTCGTAAGTTGCCAGTATTTGATCACAGATGTCTTAGAAATATTGCTCGCATCTGCTGGGATTACCGGGTAAGTAACAGTGAGGTTGGACGCAGGGTATTAGGGAATGATGGTAAGTCAGTTGATGACGTTGTAAGTTTTCATTGACAGATATGGTTGGGAGAAAGTTAGGGGCGGTCAAACCAAAACGTGGCATCAGTGCTTGAAGTCACTAACCATGTTGGTAGATGCAGACTACTTGGTTGGGGTCCGTGTGACTATCGTAACCAATAGTTGGAGACTGGATAACATGGCTCAAAATCGATCACAATGGCGTAGGTGTATACACTCTTTGTCTTCCCTTAAACCGTGAGATTAAAATTACTTTATACCTTTCTTTCTACGAATTAATTCTTTCCTCCTGTACTGTATTCTTATACACAATCTTTCTTTTATATATTACTACCATTGAAGTAACTACTTCTATAAATTTGGTGTTCATCTTGTTGTGCTAATGATGTATGGTAACTTGGACCGATGCATATATGTGCCTGGTCGTACTTTGTGGCTGATTGACTGATTAATAATAACAAAGTCAGTATTGTTTGACTTTCACAGAGATACAGCAGTTCATTCTCTTCGACATGTTAAGGTATATACTGGTACGTTAAAGTCTTAGTGAAATTATAACTAAAGTACATACCGCTACTATAAAACATTGTAACCGGTTAGCTATGTATCCTTTAGTCATGGTTAGAATCAAGTGGAAAAAATAATTCAATACCATGACTCCCTCTACAGATTTAAATGTTACAAGAATGACAATGTTTACAAAATACTATGAATTCATTGTGGTACATTACTTTCTCCTCAGTGAAATACATCTCAGAAAGCTGTCCTTGACAGAACTCGAAGAGGAGTATACAGTAACAAAATTATATATCTGAGAACATAGGTACGCTAGAGCCGTTATAAAGAAATTTAGCAATAAGCACAACACAAAGTTAGGATTTAATCAATCTGAAATGAAACGTGGTTTCATCTTACCAATGGTTGAATATTGGTCAGATCAAAGATGAAATTAGTCGGAAATCGAAGATAGTTCTAAGCAAAGCATTTCATGAAGTAAAAACTTTTCCAGCAAATGTAGCACGATGCTAAAAACGCGAAGCAAGGATAGGAAACCACCTTCATATATTTACTCCAACTGCCTATACCAATTTAAATGATACAAAAAATAGGTACGTTGGAAAAATAGAAAGTCAGGCATTCACATGCTTCAAGAGTATGTATCTCAGAGGATAAAATAGTCCTTTTAGTTCGACAATGTGTAACCCGCTAGACAGTAACAATAAATATAATACATAATCTCAGTATGACCGGTAAGCAATTTAGTTCTAACTTATTTAGATTCTCATAGATAATCTCAATTAAGAATTTTGAACTTAATTTTTCTGTTCAGAAAGAGTCAAAGGTTAACTCTTGACTGCTTCGATAACCAATGTAAATAATCTATCTGTTCTATGTTATCTTTTATAGCTTTTTTTCAAACAAGGTTCAAGAGTTTATGGAAATTATTTCAATCTAAAGATAATTTTCGTCATATAAGGACACCATTTGCTGAATCATTAGGAACTAAGCATCACAGAACAGGTGTACCATTTAACTTTGAGGATTCAAAATGACCCATACTTGAGATCGCACTTTGAATTTAACCTATTCATTGTTTCACCGCTAGGGTATTGTCCATTCATTTTGTTGTTTTTTCATCTAACTTGGTAATTTCATTTGAGATTCATTGATAATCGATGGATCGTTTCGTCTGAGTATTTTCTAGTTGAATTCATCAGTCGATTAAAGCTAGACCATCGAAAAGCTGGAAGCATTGAATGATCGTTTCGTCCTAGTATGGGACTCCTCAGCAGTGCGCATCCAAGATTCCGCTCACGAGATCCGAACCCAGGACCTTCGGTTGTCCAGTGCTTCCAGGTTTTCCATGGTGATTCAGCTTTAATCGACCCAACTATTGAATTACTAAAATCTCCACATAAACCTCAATCTGAATATTTTCTGTTGTTTACCATTACTATTTTTTTAAATTCAGTCCTACTGTAAACAGACAATTCACTTTTC